GGGATTAAAGGCATGTTCCACCATTACCTGGCAACAGTTTTCTTTTTAAAAATAGCTTTCTGGTTATTGAATAGAGAAAAAGATCAGAAAAGAGACTTGAGAATAAGGAAAGTGCTAGAAATACTCGGAGGAGAGATTAAAGTAGGTTAGAGTGTGTACTGGTATTACTGCTGTAGAAAAAAATAAAACAACTCTGAGTTATTGCCTCTATCTTGAATGCCGCTCACAGAAGCCTTTACCACAGAAATGCTTTCTCGATTTCAGTCAGGATTGCGATGACTGAAGAAATGTTAAGGAGATATGAACTGCTGCTGGCTTTGGAGACAGGGGAAGAAGCCATGAGCCGAGGAATGTAGGCAGCCCCCAGAAGCAGGCGAAAGGGAATGGATTCTACTCTGGAGCATCCAGAAAGGAAGGAAGACTGTCGATGTGGGCTAAGTGGGAAGCCTGCACCAGGACTGGATCTACGGAATCTCCATCTTGTGTTAAGTAGTTAATCTTTAACCTTTTTTTAAACAGAAGCAGTAGAAAATTGTGAAGTTGGTAACCTTAGCTGTGAGCACTTTGTTAGGCACGTAGAAAAAAACAAAGATGTCTAAAGAATGAATGAATGAATGAATGAATGAACAAGTGAATGAAGGAGGGGTTCTTTCTGCTCATCCTGCACATCAGACCATGGCTCTGTTATTACCCACATCACTTGCATTTTCCTCTTTGCCCTTAAATGCAGTTCCATTAAATAGGACTCTTGAATTCCTCTAATACAATTCTCCATTCACAAAGATATTTCATACAACACCCCTACTATATTTTCTTAGCTAAACCATCTTTATGATGTAAGACTAATACAGAGCTGGGATAGTCAACATGCTTTTAAGATGGGGATTGCCAATTTATACCAAGAAAAAATCAAAGAGATGTATTTGAAGAAAGTGCAATAGTTATTTCCTTTGAAGTCATAGCAAATAGAGGGGCCATTATAATTCAGGTACCACTATGAAACGTTTACCGTTTTCAGAGTGTATTATAATATTTGTATGCCTTTTGAGGTGGCTTATCTAACTACACAGTGTATCATAAAGTCAACTTATACTATGTGGTTATTTTAAGTGGTTATTTAGTGTTGATCTCCTAATTTTTAACCAAGAATGGTAGAACTCACAATGTCTAGGCATTGTGTTTATATTTGTTTATGGGTCACTGGACCATGATTAACTTACTAGAGGAAGAACAAGTAGAGTAAAAAGAAGAAGAGGAAAAAATGAAGGGCACGGTCACATGCAACCCTTACGGGGAGTTGCATCTGTATCAGGTGTTGAGCTGTGCTCTCTGCACATATTTTTTAATTTCATGTTCATAAGAATCAGCTGCGCTCACCTAGAGCCAAGTTTCTTTCTTCGTCAAGCAAGGAGAACCAAAATCAGCAGGAAGACCAGATGGGAGACTAAGGTCTTGATGCACCCCGTTTTCCTCAGAGTTCTATTTAATTTTGTTTCCTTTCAGTAAGTTAAATGCTACTTTATAAAGAATGTAGATGGGACCCTACAGGACCCATTTAATGTATCTGGTCAGATTTCTCCCTTGCTATGAGATTGTATTATGCACTGGAAACAGGTAACAAGCATTCCAAGAAGACGAGGGAAAATTTCTAGACCCAAGCCAGCTTTTCAGTTAAGGCTTTGTTGACACGGAATGAAAACTAAAAGTGAAAGGCATTTTGGAACGTTAGCCTTCTTAGATAAAATGTTGCTTAAAACAATGCATCACAAAGTAAAACCAGAGTTGCACAATTCATGCAACGTCAATTCCTAGCAGCCATAGAGACATACTCCCAATGTCCAGAAAGTTTGAACAAACGTGTTTCTTTGTGTGTTATATACGAGCACGCATTAAAATGGCCTATGTTTTTATGTAAGTTATCATATTCAGGAAAATAGGTTCAATGTCCTGGGATTTGTGGATAAGCTATACAAGATGAAGGCCTGAGATCGTGTCGAGTTATTTGCTTATGGTAACTTGTCTTCACAAAAAAGATTGCTATTCCACAAACTCCAAGCCTCAGAAGCAAATATTTCCTCAGGGTTCAAAGGTGACACAAAGGCTTGACGCTATGTCTTTTATGAGAAAAGACAACAGAAGTTGAAAATTACATGGTTAAAGACATGAGATATATTCAGATAGTCACACAGGATTCATCCTTCTGTCGACAGTTGAGACTGACACATGAGCATTTAACTTTCCTTATTTTTTGTTTCTAGCTGAAGAAAGAAAAGGATTCACCCAAAAGTCTGGAGTGTCAATGTTCTCCTAGTCCTTAGTAACTGGTTTTCCTGAAGTCATTGGAGGCAGACTGACTCACCTTTCCTCTACGAAGAAACTGAAGCCTGCCCCCAGCTTTCCTGGAGTCGAAGCTCAGAGACACAAACAGCTAGGAAAGCACAGCACAGATCTTACAGACATTGCTATCTTAGCAAGTAAGAGAGAAACAAATGTCACAGCCTGCCCCTAAGCAGTTCGCTGTATGTGACCAAGTCTACACTCTTATTTTTCTTTCATCCCCTCATGGGCGCATGCTCCGAGTTTTGTTTTCCACTTTCTGCTGATGCACCCATCACTTCCTTCTCATTTGAGTCCTTTGCCGTCAAAAAATTGCAAGTGACTCCTCCGTGTATTTGGGAATGATCCCTAGCATGAGTTCCCACTGGCTAGTCTTTCCCTCATACTGTCTTCTTCAAGCCTATCAGTGCGGCCTTAAACGTGAAATGGCTGTCACCCCACCCCCATTCAAGAAAACAGACAGAAAATACTTAAAATGGTTCTTAGCCAGGAGCATTTTATCCCTTATTCACTAGTGGTAAATGAGTCAGACATGAGTTGGCCAAAAAAAAAAAAAAAGGGCTGCCTTACCCAGAATCTGAGTACAAAATGAGTCATCTCACTCCAAACACCAATATATCCTCCAAAATAACTGGCAAGAATTTCCTACAAAAAGAATTTGCCTGTGCTCTTTCCATCCATTTAACTCTCTGATTTTCTTTTTCTAATTTTTCAATGTCCTGTGTGATTACAATATTGCACTCACAACAAAGGCTTTTGGGCCTTGTCTTTAGTTTTGGCTGCTGAGCCCGGGGGTGGGGGGGCAATTCTGATAGCAATCCCTGGGTCACTCTCTCATTTTCTCTCCACCCCCTTCGCTACCCCCATCCATATCTCCATCATCCCTTTCATGAAAGTCATACACAGTTTACCTAAAAGACATGATCTGGTTCTAGAAGACTTTTTTTCTGTCCCTTTGTTGAAGGAAATGAAAAACACAGAAAACAGTTCAAGTCAAACCTTTTTCTCCCTCAAGAATAAACCAATCACAACTGATAGAGGATGTCTAAAAGGTTTGAGGAGTCACAAAACCAGGCTTCCACTCTGCCGTTCGGTTCATCAGGACACTGGCATTCACACTCCCTATAAGCCACTGGCAGAAGAGGAGAGTCACTGTCAATTGAAGCTGGGTTAATTCTTACAGATTGTCAGGAGCCAAGCGCATGATTTTCCACTGGACAAGCAAATATGCTTGTGGAGGCAACTCCTGCTAAAGTGCCGAGATTTTGGTATTGCTTAGGGTTCATATTGTTAATTATTCCATGTTCTGAAATTTCATGGGGGCAGAGCTACTTAGAACTCACTTCACCCAGGGTGGAATTCGCCTCGTTTTTCTGTACTAAATGAATTTTAAACAATAGCTTTGCTCTTCTACATCCAACACTAACAGATGTTAGTTCCCTCGGTTTTATGGCCCTCCGATGACAGACAAGTAACTGGTTTTGGCCTTGGGAATAATTGCAACACCTTTGGATTATGAACTTGGTTCAATTCTTAGCTGGGAACAGCAGGGGGCTAGTTCATAATATCAAAGATGTAAAATACGTTTCCCCCTTTTCTCCAGATACTGCAAGAAAATGTATTCCAATTTGGTCACACATAAATGCTCTCCCCATTGACAACCCGGTTTTAGCAAGAGAAAACACAGGCAGAAACATGAAATCTCTTATTCAGTTTATCAACTTTTGGACCCAAACAAGATGTTAAATCCATTAAATTGGTAGTATCCAGCTAAGGAATGAAAGCCAGAACTGCTCACATTGGTGTGTTTGGGAAGTGGTGTTACTAATGCAGAGAGCTGGGTTCCTTTTTAGAAGCCAGCCCTCAGAGTTTCAGCTGAGGTTGGCCTGACATATGCCCAGAAATGGGATGCGACCTTTCAGGCAGCTGTGGAAAGCACCGGTCACAGTGGACTGTAAAGAAACATTGAACGTAGAGGGAATAGGCAAGGAAAAGAACAAATTGATAATGGTTTCTTAAAAGAAGCACACATAACCTGAGACTAGCTTTACGTGCCCCACCCCATCCTAAGTGCAGATGAAGGCAAACAGAGCACTCTTCCCGCGTAATATGGAATAAAGTCAGGCTCTTTGCTCCTAGTCCTTCACGCAGACTCCTGACTCCTTGGCAAGCACCTTCCATCTTTATTCGTTTAGACTCGAGGTGACTCCTGTATGTATACAGTCGCTGGCCACTGACCAGTATCCCATGCAGTGCCACCTTCCTGTGTTCCCTTTGTTATATCAGAAATTTCAAATGATGGGAGGAAGAAGGAGAACATCTGGGAAAACAGAGATAAGGAGGGGACGAAGTTAAGTCCCCGCGCAGCTCTCTCCACAGCGATCCGCACTAAATTACCCAATAAGGTTAGTTTCTCACCATCTGTCTCAGCCTCCCTCTTTCTCTCTGGACCATGTGGTCCAGGTCTATTTTTTCCCAGGGAGAATGAAACAGCTGAGTTGTCCACAGCCTATAGCAGATGCTCTGCAGTCTGTGGCTTTTGAGAAAACAGGTGGAGGAGGTAGAAGGAACAGGTGAAGAAGAATCAGGAAGAAAGTTCCATAGTGCCAGCAATGAGTCTGAGCGTTACTGACCACGTGATTCCCCCCATGCCGAGTCCATACCTGCCATCTTCCTGAGCGAATGGCTGTTCCACATCTACTGTCAGAGAGGCTAGTGCAGAAACGGTCTCTGACTCCTCCTGCAGCTGAGAACCAGGCAGAGCACAGCCCCTCGCAACAGCTACCATCTTGATCGACTTCCAGTACTTGCCTAGAAGAAACATCCACATGTTTTGTAGGAATTTTAGTCAGATCAATAGTAATCACAGTATGATTACAGGTTCAAGTCCTTTTGCTATTCAGTTGTAATTTAGTTTCTGAACTGCCGTGATTAAGTCTTTTTTTTGGGGGGGGGGTGATGTAAGGATGCCAAGATGTGAAATACTCAGGTTCCCAAGCCAAGATCTCTGCCTTGCTTGGAAAGCAATAAAGCAAGGAGTAATTCATGGTCTAATGGGCGTGCTCACAGACTGACAGATGTCCCTACAACTAAATAAGCAAGCTCCAGGTACCGTGCCCTTTGAGAAACCCTCAAGAGACATGAAGGTAGAAGTCTCCTGAAGAAAAATGGATGAAAAAATAATGTTAAAAGTCGCTACTTGAACTTGCTTTTTAAAATGAAGTTGGCATACCGAAGGAAAAAATCGCAGAGATGGCAGCATGAGTAGAACGGCCCCTGTGCCAGAACCATCAGGCTTGTTAGTCCTGAATGTTCTTTCATTCTCAACCTCAGGGTGTGTGTTACAACAGTAATTGATTGAAAACTTTAATATATGCACTGGCTGATGCTGGAATTCATCCATATGTCATATTGATCTTTCTTCTTTTTTATTTTCTTTCTTTTTCTTTTTCTCTTCCTTTTTGCTTTTTGGCACGGAAGTAGAATGTGAGGGAAGTGGGTCATTTCTTGTAGGAATGCCACTTGGATACATGTCCTAGAGGAGAGGCAAAGGATTTACAGCCACTAAGACTCGTTTTATTTATTTATATTTTTAAATTGTTAAGTGTTGAGTGGTCTCAAGGACTCCAGGCTCTGACAAGACCTTCCATTTTCAAACTCTCTCTGTGGGCTCACCAATGAGGAAGGAGCTTGGCAAGCCGGGGGGTTGCCTATTTTAAAACAAGAAAGTATTGCTTAAGAGCAGAGGGCACATCCACACTGAACTGCAAAGACAGATCACAGCCCTGGGCCCACCCCTGGTTTTACCCAGTCCCACCTGGTGTGTAAGGCTGGCTTAAGGGGCTTTTGTCCTTTCCAGCTCTCACTTAAGGAAGGAGAGTCAGTCTCTCCATCTACTCTTTGTACCAACAGGACTTCCAGATGTAGGTGCCTACTACTGTTACTCCTAAAGTCATCGCCATTCGGACCATAATCTAAGAATAACAAAGCTTTCGAATTGTACCAAACAACAAGTCCACTCTCTCTCTCTCTTTTTTTTTTTTTTTGATTTTTCGAGACAGGGTTTCTCTATGGCTTTGGAGGCTGTCCTGGAACTAGCTCTTGTAGACCAGGCTGGCCTCGAACACACAGAGATCCGCCTGCCTCTGCCTCCCAAGTGCTGGGATTAAAGGCGTGTGCCACCATCGCCTGGCCCAAGTCCACTCTCATACTTTTCTGGTAATTAATGTTGTACCAGATTTTCCAGACTTCAGAAAAGCCTATTGAGGAACCCCATTAGCTGACAATTTCTGTTCTGTAAGGTAAAAGTCTCCTAGATCTCAGAGAGGAGAGAAGTAGCATAACTGCTTATGGTGCTGGCAACATAAGGGAAAGTTGCTAGGGGCAACAGTTGTAAACCAAGCAGACGCCAATTGAACTTACGTGGAAAGAGGCCCAATGCTGAGTGTCCTTGGCAGAAAAAGCGGGATGTTGCATGCGTCTCTGGCTTATTGGAGACCATCAGCTGCTAGGTTCAAGTATGACCCAAGCTAAATCTGGAGTGTAATGAGTGAGACCTTTTGGTAGGCAGGGCTAACTAGTTAGCATACAGTCATGAGCCTGAGATAGATAACTGCTTTCTTTTTAAATGACTGCTCTGGAGAGACCATGAAAGGCAAACTGACAGATGAATGAGTGGAAACAGGAAGACCAGTTCCACATCTTGCCAAAGTAGAGGTGGAAAGGATGTCTGTCTAAAGTCAATGAAGCTTTGGGATAAGACTGAGGAGACAGGGGCTTAGGAAGGGCCATGTCTGGCATTGGTCTTCAGCACCCCTTCTATCTCCCAACTGTGAAAGTTTCCCTGAGTGACAATTCCTTTCTAAGTCTTAAACTTTTCTAGACAACAATGTCATTGCTATTTCAACCAAGTCAGGAATTATGTATTCTATCACCAAGTAGACAGATCTGTATCAGGCCTTGGGAAATGTCACTATTAAATATTGTTTGAGTACATGATGTCCATGAAGCTACATCCCCACTTACTTACTTGTAGACAATATGGCATATCTACAGCATTCAAGGACTTGGCTGCCCTTGCCATGCACTGTACATGCTTCCTTAAGAAGAGGGTTCTTTACCACAAAGGAAACAGGTGTATTTACATCTACTTGATGATGAGGAAAGACAGAATGAAGTATTGATAGCCACCTTTCAGGAAATGGCTGACAATGATGGCCCTCCAAATGTTAGTACATGTATGTGAGCAACAGGAAAGCTTTAAATTGGTGAGGCTATTTAAGATAAAATTTAACATATATAAAGTATATTGCAAAGTTAAGAATAAAGTTTGGCTTTCATCCAAATATATGAGTACTGACTCAGAAACAGCCTAAAACTTTAAGTTCAATCTAGGCAAAGTCTACCAAAACAGAAGAATAGTCAACATTAGTAACGCAGCGATAGGCCACTATCTGTCTTCAGAAAAGAGAAAAATGTAGACAGAGGCAGGTACAAATAGAGATGTGAAATAAATAGCCAGCTGAAACCGTGTAATTCATAGATTATGTTCTCACATGGTATGTGTGTGTGTGTGTGTGTTTCTTTTCAGAAACAGATGTGCAAAAAATCATATCTAATGGCTTGGGAATAATAACATCATTAGCACATAAGGGAAACAATCCAAGATTTGCTATTGGCATTCTCAGGGACTGCATTTCATAAAGTAAAATATTAGTAACCTGCCACTATGGGGGTTCTATCTCCGATGCCAATAAAACTGGCAGAGGAGAAGGGTTTTCCATTGAAACTGGATGATCACCCTCCCTCTTCAGTCATCTTCTGTATCCTCATTCGTTTTTCCCACTATGTAAATCTTCCCACTTTTCAGCACTTCTTAAAAGAAAAGAACTATTTAGCCTTCATCATTCTGCATTTTTGTTTTATCTGGCAAGGGGAAAGTGAAGAATGAATCTACAATAAAAGCATAAAGTAGATAGTGGAATGCAGCCAGACCGTAGCGGGAGGTGTGAAGTGTAGACAGTTTTCCTGGGTCATGGAGTGTGCCAGGAGGGTGTCTTGCAGGGATTGTCTGACTGGAGGAAGAAGCAGACTACTCTTGGCAATGGCCAATTGGAATGAGCAGGTAGCTTTTGACCCCCAGGGACTTGTGATGGAAATAACCTTCAGAACCTGAAGCTTCTCCTTTGAGAGCCCAACTCCAGTTTGAAACTTCTGGACCTGTCAAAGCTCTCCCTTCACCACTGTGGTGAAAACCTTTGAGCTACTCAGACAGAGATTTGTAGATTTCACTTTCTTGACATTTGATGAGACCCCCTCACCTTTACATGCCAAGTTTTTTAGGTGGAAGGCTGGTACTAGCTCCAACCATCAACATTTGGGGCCCAGGCCCATAATTCTCTGAAGCTTTCTTTTTAATTTGTCATTCTCTGCTACTTTTAAATATTTGTTAAAAATCCAATCATTATAGCTAAAGGGAGAATATTACGAATATCCAAAATATTGTACAAGTATGAAAATAATGATACTCTTGAAATTTGACATATTAACTGAATAACTAGTTAATGTTTTCATATAAATTGGTGCAAGTTCACCATTAGTGGGGCAATATTTTGAAGCTAAAAGGGCTAAAATAACAATCCTATTTTATGGGTCTAAATATTTGTTGATGAACAAATTAGTTTTATCCTCTAAGACCTATAAAGTAGTGTTATTCAAATTCCTATTTTGACAGGCAAAATTCATTTTAAGAAATAAACATATTTAAGTCATATAAATCAAAGCACAATAACCAATTTCATTATATTGACAATCTAAATATTAAGAAATAACATAAGCAAATTTGTGGAACTTCAAATGAATAGGTTGGGTATTTGAACAGATACTGTGGAGAATGGTGCAATGGTTTTTAAAGAACTTATAATAAAATTTCCATAAGATTAATAAATTCCACTCCCACATAGAGAAATCAAATATGCATTTGAATAGTCATAGAATTTTATATAGATAGAATTGCCTGAACTAGAAATGATGCTGATGTGTCAAACTAGAGAAATGGATAAGCAAACTGTGGTTTATCCAGACAACAGACACTACTCAACAAAAAATGTTAACTGGTGATACAGTCCAAATTAGAGATGGGATTTGAATGTATTTTACCAAGTAAAACAAACCAGACTTCAACTGACACATATTTTTATTATTAAATTTATATACCTTACTGGGAAAGCTGAATGTATAGCCTATAGAATAAGTTGACAGTTACCGAGAATTGATAGCGATGGAGGAGAGGACTTTATACAGGCAACCCTGAGGAGATTTTCACTGAGATATGCTAACACTGTGATGGCACTCACTCAAACTATGGCTGGAAATTATCAACTTTTAGCCTCCTGTCCTCAATAACACTCCTATTTGAACATTTTAAAATATCATGACCTGAAGTTCAGTAGAATAATCTCTGCTTCTCCATTCCACATTACTTGTGACTGATTATAGTTTGCCTATAATTGTGCAGATCAGTGTTTGGGAACATTGAATACAAAACTAAATTAAATATGGTTTTTACTCCACACAGATACAAAAAAAAATCTATGTTGTTGGAGATATGATTCTATACATTTATAGGTAATAATTGTGCATATTTATATTCATACAACTATTCTTAAGTAGAAATACATTTTAGTATTTGCAGATGTCTGAAAATAACTAGGTGGGGAAACCTCAAATGCAAGACAAATGATAGTGTGAATGATTGTGTCATAAAGGCTAACGTTAGCACGCTGGAAGAAGGAGAGTAAGGAGCCAACGCA